TCATGGAATATATTGGGTTCGAATACGGACAAACATGCTTCGGCAGCAGTGGCAGGGAAGAAGAAAAAATATCTGGCATTCCAGGAAAAGGTTTCTGAGGTTGGTTTACATGCCGTCAGGGGTACATAAGTCACTATTATATTGCTGAAATTAATCGGAATATTTCAAGCAACAAATGCGTCGACAGATAGGCCGGCATTATAAGCACCGAAGGCCCAATTTGCATCATGTTACCAGGTGCTGTTTATGCCGGAACTGTCTGAATTTTGTAAAAATTTGTTAATGTTGACATAAAATGTAAAAATTAGGATGGGGATCTTTGAATGAGGAAAATCACTAATTTAATGTTGCGAGTCTCATGCATTGCTTTGGCGTTATATAACTGGAGAGAGCGCGACGGCACAAGTAAAATTTTCTCAAATCTATTAAGATTTATCTATAAAATCTACACTTCATTTCAAAGGTGCAAGAACCGAAGTTTTCCATGCAACAATAGCAGATAAACATGATCAACTAATATAAAATATAATGAAAATAAACCTGTCCACTATAAATATCATGCTTCATTTTCATCAGACGTTTCCTATTATAATTGTTGCAATATCATTTCCGCTATCTATATTGTGCCACATTTTCAGAATCTGTCATGAGGAATTTACTCAGCTTCTCGTTTCTGACAAGCTACAGTGCCATACCAATCCATAGATATTCGCCTTACGCGACCGCAACTTCTATGATAGATACAGATTGCGATGATGTACTCAATTTTGCATTTAGCATTGATAATTAGCGCATTGTACAGTAGGTCGCAGCCGAAGACTTTGCATCGCTTTTCTGCTTTTCTGTCGCTGAGAATCAGCCCACTGCGTTATAATGCATTTTTCATGCATATTTCTTACAGGTCTCACTCCTGATACGGAGATTGACATACAATGGAATCCATTCACTGAACTACCAGAGAGCATCTTTCGCCCCATACTGGATGTCTTGTCTCAGGGAAATGGTTTCGTCAATGTAAATGGTAAGTTGCGCAGATATTAACAGACTACTTGTCAAATGAGCAATTCTATCATTCGCCATACTATCATTGCAAGACATTCCTTCGCTTTTCCAGAAGTCACTAGGATACGATGCGATTGCGGCATGGCCTGGATGTTGACTGCAGAAAAGTTCCAGAAGCATGTTCGTGGGAAGTGTGAGAATGGCACAAAATTTGAAGACTTGAATTTAGGTGTCTTGAGAGGTTGTTCTCGCCTTTGTCCGTACGATTGTGTTAAGGTCCAACTGGTGTCTTTCTGCACGCCGGGTAAGACGATCCTCTCAAAAGTAGACAACTGCGAGCATGAGGAAATATGTTGTCAACCAAGACTGCCAATGATCTCTACTCCGAACGAGATGAGGAAACCTGGAGGCTTGCAAGAGCAAGTTACAAGGATTCCAGTGATAACTACTCCGAACGAGATGAAGACACCTGGAAGCTTGCACGAACCAGGTACCCTGTCTTTCCATCTTCTTCGCAAATCGTAATATGTAGCTACTTCTCTTGCTTGATTTGAAAAACACATGTTGGGATTGTAGGGTACGACATCTTGCGGAAGGATAAGCTCGGCAGAAATGGGGGAGGAGTCGTGTTGTACGCTAAAACCGAACTGGGCGTTCGCGTCAGAGAAGATCTCACCCCGGCTAATTGTGGAGCAATCGAACG